TCGGGCTGCTGCAGGCCGCTCCCGCCGGCCCCGGCTCTAGGGCTGCGGCCCCGGGGGTCGGGCCAGGCCGGGGACGCGCGGAGCGCGGGGGCTCCCCCAGCGCTAACACTCCCTCCCTCCTTCCCGTCTGCTGCAGGAGCACGATGAGCGACATCCGCCACTCCCTGCTCCGCAGGGACGCCCTCAGCGCCGCCAAGGAAGTGCTGTATCACCTGGACATCTACTTCAGCAGCCAGCTGCAGAGCGCCCCGCTCCCCATCGTAGACAAAGGTCCTATCGAGTTGCTGGAAGAGTTTATATTTCAGGTCCCAAAGGAGCGCAATTCCCAGCCTAAGGTAAGTGGCAGGGCCGCAGGGGCTGGGAAATGCGCTTTGGACTGACAGACCCCTGAGGCTGAGGCTGCTCTGACCCCAAAAGCTGCTTGCCTTGGTTAGCTGAGCACCTTTTAAGGGGTTTTAGTAGAGGGGTTTGCACAGGAAAGTAGGGGGAATCCCCTCAGCATCTCTAGCTGCCTGTAGTTGGATTCCTGCTCCCCTGCGCAGGTAGTGTCAGTCAAGGAGGCTTATCCGCAGCAGTTGCTGTTATGCCAGTCTTCTTTAAGCACTTCTCCATTGCAATTTTGTTCATTATTGTTCAGAACCAAACAGTGTTGGCTCTGTGCTAGGCACAAATATCAAGACTCTCCTTGCCTCAGAGCACTTTAAAATTCAGCATCCTGACCCTGCAATCTGACCAGCATAGCTGGAAACTCACATCTATCAAGAGCCCCAGAGTTCATGGGGGCCCCATGTGGGTGCAAGGACCTGCCTATGGAGGTTTGGTACTGGAATCAGGACCTGGAAGGCAGGGAGAGAAATACAAAGTGCACAGGGAACATGAGTGAAAGGAGATATATAGTAGGGTGTTTTTTTGTTTTGTATTCCTGGTTTTGTTTCTTCTGTATTTTTTTTGCTCTGATCCTCCTGCAGAATGTATCCTTTGCCTTGATAACAGTAGCTGTTTGACGTTTCCTGTAAAATATAATCAATAACCATTTTGTGTTGGGCAAGTAAATACAACTTTTGCTTAGGAACCAGGCATTTGCACATTGTACTAAAAAAGATACAAGAACTGAGAAGTGGGAAAGTGCAGGCTACCCATAATAAGTAGGGATCTCCGGAATTCATGCTGGAAGGGCACGGTGTGGTGGCAGCTTTAATTTTGGGGTTTTCCCCCTACGCCCCCTCCAACTTGATGGGGGGGGTAAGGGGGTGCTGTTTCTCATGCCTGAAACCGCAGCTGCAGTTTTCCCCTCCAGACCGTCGGGCACGGACAGTGAGCAGCAAGTGATGGAGCCCTTCCACCAGTCAGCAATGGATGGGGCATGCAACTGCAAAATTTAAAGAAGCTGCAACGCCCCACACTTCCAATGTGAATTCCAGAGATCCCTAATAATGGGTGGTAAAGTCTGGAAAGGTGGAACGTCTGCTACTGCTTGAAAACTGTCTCCACTGCTCACGTCCAGTTCTTTCAACAAAAAACTATAAGACTTATTCTAGAGCTAGTCCATGTGTTGCTATACCCTGTTCTCCATGAAGCTGGTTTAGATGTATGGTTGGATTTAGCCACGAGTAGGAGACTGGACTGTGAAGGGGAAGGCGATGCTTTCTGTTTCTAGACGTTAATAGAGTAAATCCTAATGTATTTTGTGGCTTCCTTGTTTCTAGAGGCTGAATTCACTTCAAGAGCTTCAGCTCCTTGAAATCATGTGCAATTATTTCCAAGAGCAAACAAAGGATTCTGTTCGGCAGATCATTTTCTCATCTCTCTTCAGTCCTCAAGGAAACAAAGCGGATGACAACAGGATGACCTTATTAGGAAAGCTGGTTTCCATGGCAGTAGCGGTGTGTAGAATTCCCGTTCTGGAATGTGCTGCATCCTGGCTTCAGGTAAAGCTTCTTCATTAATAGAGCAGTCCCCATGCTTAGTATGTGCTTGCTGGTGAAGTGCTGCCAAGTAGCTAATGTGAACAGTGGGTGGAAACTAAGTGGGACTCTAGGACTTAACTCTCAGAACTGGGACCTGCTCTTCAAATACCCACAGAACCTTCTCTTGAAGACACCTATGGAGTTTAGAAGAGACAGCAAGTCAGTGCAGCAAGAGACATTCTCCACCTCTTTGCTTCCTTCTTGAGGGTTTGTGTGGGGAACAAGTTTTGCTTCCTCAGCATCCAGGTGCCCTCTCCCCTGCCCCTCCAACTCCTGTGAATCTCTTAACATCTACGTGGGGGAGCCCTGCTCTGACTCACTCCTGTAGAATGTGGGCCATGTCTTCATTCCTGCCCACTCCAGGTGTACAGATTCGGCTTTCCTCCGCATTTGGGAAGAGCTGTGAGACTGGGCTTTGGGAGAGGTGCAGAAGAGGGAAGTGTGTCCGTTCTATTGAGGTCCCAGGGATGCTGCTTTTCCATACAGGTTCCATGAGACCTGTAGGAGCAGGAACGAAAGAGTGATATGTTGTTTGCAGGAGACTTCTACTCATTGAAATTGTGATGCTTAAAGGATGTGGTGGGGACTTTGTCTTGGTAATCTTCTTTCTTTCTTTCTTCCATCCATAAGTTTTTTTTATGCTCCCTACTTGCTCTCTCTCCTGAGAACCTCCAGAGGTCTCGTTACCCTGAGAAATCCATGGGAGCTCTGGCTTTCTTATTGGACTTGTGTGATCTGCAACATCAGTGCCCCTTAAGACGGAATGTGGATGGGGACTGCAGTTAGGATGACTTGGACACCAGCAGGTTGAGAATGTTGCTGTGCCCAGATAATAATATTAGATAACTTGCATGCAGGGAGCAAAAGGACAGAGCAGAGGTGGTGAACATCACACTTTGTATCAGATGCATGCCACTTTTGCCAGGTACAAAGGTGTTGGAAGGATGATTTTCCTTATTCACTTGTATTCTCAAATTTTAAACACATTTTGGGCAGGGTGTGGGAATATTTATTTTATCTCTGTTTGAATGGAACTGTTGTTCTTTGTTTGCCTCTCCCAACACTGCCTCCCTCTTCTTCCTTCTTTCCTGTCTTTTATATTCAAACTGCTCTTTCCATTTTCGGAGCTGCTCTGTGTACATGCTTGCACAGCATCTGATGAAGTGAATTTGAGCTCATGAAGGATTCTGCTATAATTATCTCTAATTTAGTTAGTCTATAAAGTGCAAATCTACCATGCCTTTTGCCTAACTTCAGATTAACTTGGCTAATTACCTC